AACAGCTGTTGAGTGCTTTTTATTTTTGATAATAAAACTTAATATTTAATTGTTAATATAGACATAGATATTATTGGAGCATGTTTTATATATTTATGAGAAACATTCCTGATGTAAGGCAGCACTTGAACATCCAGTGCTCCTTCGTGAAGATGACTACTGCTCAGTACATTTACAGTACCTTTTGGATTGATTTGATTGGTTTGATCTTGGGAGACCAAATGGTTTACTGCAGTACAGAAATTAAGCATCTTTCCATGGACAAACCATTGTTGGAAGAGCATCAAGGCAGAAAAATCAGGAAGAATCACAGCCTGTTTTCAGCTATTCATGATATTGCACATAGTGAAGAAGAATGTGAGGAAGGGAGTCCAGGGGAAAAAGAAGGGACTAAATATCTTGACATGAAATTGTACAAAGCTTGTTTAATCTCATCATAAACAGTGCTTAAACACTGTACTGCTGCTAAGTAAAATACTGGTTTTTATAGATCAGATATTATAGTAAAACAATCTTGCAAAATCGTGCTTACTATTTTCCTGAATCAAGTAATATTTTTGTGACAGACAAGTTAAATACAATTTAGTTTACTATCAGTCATTATGGTTAGGGTGGACAAAGTAGAGTTTGCAACTGCATTAGTGAACTTATGATTTTGCAAGGCTGTAGTAAACACTCCTGTGAAGTAATAAGAGAATAGAATCATAGAATCATGGAATGGTTTTATGAGAGAATACATATATTAGAGTACACTTCTGTGTTAAAGCTACTTAAAAATAGCTGTATTATTTACTGGTCTAGGAAAAAACATAATGGACTATGGGTAAGACATTTTCCCATTCTTAATTAAACTTACAACAGGAAAAACTACCGAAGATATGTTTCAGCCTCAATCCTATATAAAACAGTCAAAACAGGGATGTGGGAAAATGATGGAGCAAAGCACAGGTAAGTGTCAAGAAGGGCATGGGTCTTCACTATATGTAGCTTCAGGAAGTAGGCCAGTGAATCCAGTTGCATTTATATCTTAATGTAACTTTTTGGATTATATAGTTCATGATACTACACTACTGCACAAATAAATTTAAAATAATCATATTGTCGTAAGAATATGCTGCACAAAGCACCTGATGCGCAAATTTTAAAATATTCACAAATGTCAGCTTTTGTTTTGGAAAAGTAAATATTCTAATAATCAGTGTTGATTCAGTTGGAGGCATTCTTCAGCATCCCATGCAAGTAGCAGTATGTGTTTAAAAATGTGGGGAAAATTGTGCATTCTCAGTTGCTTCTATCACTTTCTTTTCAAGAAATTCATTTCATGCTGGATGAGTAGTTACTGCTGAAAATTAGATGCTCATTAATTTTTCTGTGGTAATGTTATAATGCAAGGTAGGATCTATTGTTGCATGTGCTACTGTAGCATATCTGATATAAGTACTGCTGTCATGAACTATACATAAACCGTTTGATTTTTTTTTTCTGGTTAGGGCCCAACAGGTCCAAGCTGCAAGATATGCTTGCAAACTTGAGAGATGTTGATGATCTCCCTTCATTACAGCCATCTGTTGCACCACCTTCTAGGCCCAGTAGCTCAAGGCTCATTGAACATGAAATAAACAGGACAGATGAAGGTAAGTATTAAAAATATGCATACATCTTAGTAAAGGTAGATGTTTATAGTGACTTCTGCTTAAAGGTTATCCTCTAAGACTTTCCAAGCACTTTTCAAATACTAATTCAGCAGTAAGTGCGATAAATAGCTTTCCCATTCCTCCCCTCCGGTCGTTATTAGTAAGGTCAGGACACTTAGCCAGGTAAAGTCTTGACTAATCACAGAATGTTAGGGGTTGGAAGGGACCTCAAAAGATCATCTAGTCCATCCCCGCTGCCAGAGCAGGACCACCTAGAGTAGATCACACAGGAACATGTCCAGGCAGGTTTTGAATGTCTCTAGAGAAGAAGACTCCACAACCTCTCTGGGCAGCCTGTTCCAGTGCTCTGTCACCCTCACAGTGAAAAAAATTTTCCTTATGTTAACATGGAACCTCCTGTGCTCCAGCTTGCACTTATTGCCTCGTGTCATATCATTGGCCATCACTGAGAAGAGCCCAGC